CTCTGAACAGTTGATGTTGAGATGTGTCACTTGAACTCTGTGAAGCATTTATTTGGGCTGCAATTTCGGAGGCTGGTAACTCTAATGAACTTATCCTCTGCAGCAGAGGTAACTCTGGGACTTCCATTCCTGTGGCGGTCCTCATGAGAGCCAGTTTCATCATAGCACTTGATGTTTTTTGCGACTGCACTTGAAGAAACTTTCAAAGTTATTGAAATGTTCCGTATTGACTGACCTTCATGTCTTAAAGTAATGATGGACTGTTGTTTCTCTTTGCTTATTTGAGCTTTTCTTGACTTGGTCTTTTACCAAATAGGGATATCTTCTGTATATGATGTCTACACTATTATTCTACAATGTAAAAAAATTGTAAAAATAAAGAAAAACGCTTGAATGAGTAGGTGTTCTAAAACTTTGTAAACTGGTAGTTTTTTTTTATTTATTTCACCTTTATTTAACCAGGTAAGCCAGTTGAGAACAAGTTCTCATTTACAACTGCGACCTGGCCAAGATAAAGCAAAGCAGTGCGATAAAAACAACAACACAGAGTTACATATGGGGTAAAAAAAACATAAAGTCAAAAAATACAACAGAAAATATATATACAGTGTGTGCAAATGTAGCAAGTTATGGAGGTAAGGCAATAAATAGGCTATAGTGCAAAATAATTACAATTAGTATTAACACTGGAATGCTAGATGTGCAAGAGATTATGTGCAAATAGAGATACTGGGGTGCAAAAGAGCAAAATAAATAACAATATAGGGATGAGGTAGTTGGGTGGTCTAATTTCAGATGGGCTGTGTACAGGTGCAGTGATCGGTAAGGTGCTCTGACAACTGTAAAGCTATCAGCTAGCTGGCAGATCAAATCAAATTGTATTTGTCACATACACGTGTTTAGCAAATGTTATTGCGGGTGTAGTGAAATGCTTGTGCTTCTAGCTCCGACAGTGCAGGAATATCTAATACAGTGCAGTTAGGCGGCCAGCCAGTGTATAACTTATCCGTGCCTCGGTATCACTAACGCTAGCATACATCGCTAACAATAAACAAGCCAGCAAACGTAATAGTAGCTAAAATTCCCTGAAGTAATATAAACAATATAGTTAGGCTTGAAACCCAGTCTAAAGCCACATAACTATTTAACCAAACCCGACTGGACATCTATGCGTAAAAATAAAAGTATACATAAAAAATGGCATAGTGTGGCTATAGTTATAGTCACACCCTTGTAAACTTAGCGAGCTGGCTAAATAGCGCAACCAACATTAACTATGATCCAACGTTACCTCGCCAGTCTTTATCGCGCTAGCCATCTAGCCAGCCAGCCGTGCCAGCCAGTCGATCCTATGAGTCATTTCATTGTATCCTCATGTTCTAACAGTTCACTATCCACTGTATCCAAGTTCAAAAGACAGCTCCTCCTGATGTAGTAGACAGGGAGTTCTTTCCTCGTGTATGTTTCAGCCGTCTTCACAGAGTCAAATGTGTGCATTCTTGGTTTCCATCCACAAAGTCGCCGGGTAGCGCAGGCCGCAGAAGCCTCTTCAGTGGGGAGAAAGCCATCCTCCTCTTGTGGAGTAATGGAGAAAGATCCGGAAAGATCATGATTCTGTCTCTCCCTTTGCTCAGGCAGCAGAGAGGATGCAGACAGTGTCCTTGTACCATAGAAATGTTATGACAAATGCCCTGGGTGCAACCTGGCCAGGCAGCCGCCTCCGTAGCGTGCGATAGGCCCAGAATTTTGGGAATCCATTCCTGTAGAAAGGAGATGGCGTCTCTTCCCTCCACGGCCCCCGGGAAACCATGAAATATCAAATTCGAGCGCTTTTGGAAATGTTCGTAAGAATCTAATTTCTCCTCGAGTTTAGAGATGGCGTCTTCCAACTTCTTGTACTTTTGATCCACGTCCTCGCGGACATCCAGGATTTGACTTTCTGGTCTTCGTGGAGTTTATCGACCAGCACATCAATTTTGATGAGGCGTTCTGAAAGTGTCTCTTGGATTTCTGTTATACCCTTGTCCATCTCCATTCTGAACCATGCTGGTGCTTCTTCCGAGCTAGCATCCGCTGAGGCCGAAGACGGGCTGTCAGAAGGGGGCACTTTTCCATGCCTCGTCTGAGGCCTTGCAAGATTGGGCATCTTTTGTTTTGGCGATAAAAGAGATGTTTTAACTTCCAACTCACTATTAACTCACTATTAACTCACTATTAACGTAAACCGTGTCAAAATGCCTTAAACATTTTCAAAAGTTTGAGGACGCTATGCAGTCGCGTCTTCTTAGATCTTGCCGGAAGCTAATATAGGGATTACATTTAAATTTAAATTATTTATACTTTTACTTTTACTTTTGATACGTATGTATATTTTAGCAATTACATTTACTTTTGATACTTAAGTATATTTAAAACCCAATACTTTTAGACTTTTACTCAAGTAGTATTTTACTGGGTGACTTTCACTTTTACTTGAGTCATTTTCTATTAAGGTATCTTTACTTTTACTCAAGTATGACAATTGGGTACTTTTTCCACCACTGATGATCTTTTCGTCAAAGAAGTTAATAAATTCAGCACTGCTGAAGTGAAGGCCATCCTCACTTGGGGATTGCTGCTTTTTAGTTAGCTTTGCGACCGTATCAAAAATACATTTGGGATTGTTTTTATTCTCCTCAATCGGGTTGGAAAAGTAGGCTGGTCGTGCAGCAGTGAGGGCTCTTCGATATTGCACGGTACTGTCTTTCTAAGCAAATTAAGCAAATTATTTGTTGTGATTGCAAACATAATAAGATGGTGGTCTGATAGTCCAGGAATATGAGGAAAAACATTTTAGATCCACAATATCTATTCCACAAGACAAAACTAGATCCAGGATATGATTGTGACAATGCGTAGGTCCAGAGACATGTTGGACAAAACCCATTAAGTTGATGATGGCTCTGAAAGCCTTTTGGAGTGGGTCTGTGGGCTTCTTCATGTGAATATTGAAGTCACCAAACATTTGAATATTATCATCCATGACTACCAGGTCCTATAGGAATTCAGGGAACTATACGCTATAAAAAGTGATTGAGTAAGCTGAAAGAGCAGTCTTTTCCCCCCCCGTAAATATACATTTGCTGTCATTAATGTTAGCATCACCTCCGCCTTTGCGGGAAGCGCAGAGGGATATATTACTAGAGTAACCAGGAGGAGAGGCCTCATTTAACGCAGTAAATTCATCAGGCTTAAGCCATGTTTCAGTCAGACCAATCACATCAAGTGAGTAGTTCATTGACTATGACTGCCTTGGAAGTGAGGGATCTAACATTAAATAGTCCTATTTTGAGATGTGAGGTATTATCACAATCTCTTTCAATAATGACAGGAATGGAGGAGGTCTTTATTCCAGAGTTGTTGTGTCTCTGGTTGACCTTATGCCCTGTTTGTTATGTTTTAAGGTATTTACATGGTCGGGCACAAGGTAATGTGTATTTACATAGTCAGTTTGTTGGTTGCTTAGTAACATAATGTATGTATTTTCTACATACATTGTTGTTCTTTGCTCACGTTGTTCATACCAAAGGTGAGATGAAAGCTTGTGGCAGAGGCTGTCTATTTACATAGTCAGTTGGTTGTGGTGTAGTTAGGTAATGTATGTATTTACATAGTCAGTTGGTTGTTGTGTAGTTAGGTAATGTATGTATTTACATAGTCAGTTGGTTAGAGTGTAGTTAGGTAATGTATGTATTTACATAGTCAGTTGGTTGTTGTGTAGTTAGGTAATGTATGTATTTACATAGTCAGTTGGTTGTTGTGTAGTTAGGTAATGTATGTATTTACATAGTCAGTTGGTTAGAGTGTAGTTAGGTAATGTATGTATTTACATAGTCAGTCGGTTGTTGTGTAGTTAGGTAATGTATGTATTTACATAGTCAGTTGGTTAGAGTGTAGTTAGGTAATGTATGTATTTACATAGTCAGTTGGTTAGAGTGTAGTTAGGTAAGGTATGTATTTACATAGTCAGTTGGTTGTTGTGTAGTTAGGTAATGTATGTATTTACATAGTCAGTTGGTTAGAGTGTAGTTAGTAATGTATGTATTTACATAGTCAGTTGGTTGTTGTGTAGTTAGGTAATGTATGTATTTACATAGTCAGTTGGTTAGAGTGTAGTTAGTAATGTATGTATTTACATAGTCAGTTGGTTGTTGTGTAGTTAGGTAATGTATGTATTTACATAGTCAGTTGGTTGTTGTGTAGTTAGGTAATGTATGTATTTACATAGTCAGTTGGTTAGAGTGTAGTTAGTAATGTATGTATTTACATAGTCAGTTGGTTGTTGTGTAGTTAGGTAATGTATGTATTTACATAGTCAGTTGGTTGTTGTGTAGTTAGGTAATGTATGTATTTACATAGTCAGTTGGTTGTTCTCACTTACAGAGGACGTCCTACTGTCTGTCAGATTGTGTGTAATCATGCATTGAGTCTGTCCATCATGGTTCCAGCTCTATTTATAAAGCCGCCTGGCTTCTTAGTGTCTGGTCTCATTGGTGTGATGTCCTGCCCAGCCTCCACAGCCAGGCCAGATTAGGCTACAGCTAACTGCTACAAGTGTCTTTATATTCAGCAGTTCAAGAGGCAGAGGCTCTCCTGTCGTCTGTTTGGGGACTCGGGGTGGGTCACAGCAGGTCCTTACGGAGAGGAAGAGAGACGTCCCTGTTATCTAAGACTCCTCCCTCCTCCACATCACTTTCATTCCCCCTTCAGGAGGATTGGTGATGGAAGATAGACAAAGAGACAAAAAGTGGAGAGAGGAAGAGAGGAGTGGAGAGAGGAAGAGAGGAGTGGAGAGAGGAAGAGAGGAGTGGAGAGAGGAAGAGAGGGAAGCGTGGGCGGTGTAGAGTGAAGACAGAAGGCGTGAGGGACGGAGGAGTGTACAGAGGAGTGTACGGAGGAGTGTACGGAGGACTGTACGGAGGAGTGTGTGTCGTAGTGTGTTCCAGTGTGTGTGAGGGGCCATGGGAGCAGTGCTCAGCTGGGTTATTGCAAGCCTCTACACTGTGGTGGTGGAAACAGCTATGATAGTGGGACTCAGGAGCGTAAGTTACAGTTTAGCCATGTCTTCTGCTGTACAACTTTTGCCTTATCTTTACCGCTCGTGTGTGACATTAGCGATGGCTTCACCGTGGTACCTATTGTGCTGTTAAACTTTTAGCTTTTTACAGAGAAAGAGATTGTCATTATTGCAAACATGTCATGTGTGAACGTACAGTGTGTTTACACAGTATGTTTGTAGAATGTAAATGTACATTGAATGAGAGGAAAGAGAGGCAGTGTGTGTTTGGAAAAGAGAGAGCCTGAGAGAGAGCCTGAGAGAGAGAGAGAGAGAGAGAGAAGACCTACACAGCCGTGTTCCAATCTTTATAATGGATGTGTAGTGGCTTCTGCAGAAATAGTTACACTAGTATGTGGACACACCTTGAACGTTGCTGACAGGTGTATAAAATCGAGCACATAGCCATGCAAACGTCTAGGAGCAACAACGGCTCAGCCGCGAAGTGGTAGGCCACACAAGCTCACAGAACGGGACCACGACTGCTGAAGCGCGTAGCGTCTGTCCTCGGTTGCAACACTCACTACCGAGTTCCAAACTGCCAACGTCAGCACAAGAACTGTTCACAAGAACTGTTTGTCGGGAGCTTCATAAAATGGGTTTCCATGGCCGAGCAGCCGCTCACAAGCCTAAGATTACCATGCGCAATGCCAAGCATCGGCTGGAGTGGTGTAAAACTCACCGCCATTGGACTCTGGAGCAGTGGAATCGCATTCTCTGGAGTGATGAATCACGCTTCACCATCTGGCAGTCCGACGGATGAATCTGGGTTTGGCGGATGCCAGGAGAACGCTACCTGCCCGAATGCATAGTGCCAACTGTAAAGTTTGGTGGAGGAGGAATAATGGTCTGGGGCTGTTTTTCATGGTTCGGGCTAGGTCCCTTAGTTCCAGTGAAGAGAAATCTTAACGCTACATCATACAATGACATTCTAGACGATTCTGTGCTTTCAACTTTGTGGCAACAGTTTGGGGAAGGCCCTTTCTTGTTTCAGCAGGACAATGCCCCCATGCACAAAGCGAGGTCCATACAGAAATGGTTTGTCGAGATCGGTGTGGAAGAACTTGACTGGCCTGCACAGAGCCCTGACCTCAACCCCATCAAACACCTTTGGGATGAATTAGAACGCCGACTGCGAGCTAGGCCTAATCGCCCAATGTCAGTGCCAGACCTTACTAATGCTCTTGTGGCTGAATGGAAGCTGAAAGTCCCTGCAGCAATGTTTCAACATCTCGTGGAAAGCCTTCCCAGAAGAGTGGAGGCTGTTATAGCAGCAAAGGGGGGGACCAACGCCATATTAATGCCCTTGATTTTGGAATGAGATGTTCGACGAGCACGTGTCCACATACTTCTGGCCATGTAGTGTATGTAGTTAGATCCATTATTTGTCCTCTGACAGATGATTTTTTCCAGGTTTAGGAGATGTTATTACAGTAATTAGCAAACCTCTGCTGTTTAGAGATAAACATGTTGCTCCTTTTCATGGCAGGCTCCTAGTCAACTATTCCTTCCCAGGGCCTGAGGCTATACCTTTCTCTGATTTACTGACTGCACCGTGTGGGATGCAGAGTTATCAGAGCCTCTACCAGATCATCTTAACGCTATCAGACTCTTAGCAGTATTGAGTTAATCTTTCCTTCTCTCCTGTTCTTTCATTGTGTATTTCCGTTCACGGAATATTTTAGATAAACCTGGAATCAAAGAAAAATGGCTACCTATAATTAAATGGTAAATGGTACGTGTGTATATAGATATTGTGTAGAGGCGTGTCTCCCACATGAATCTTCTCTTGGTGACAGACAGGGTTCAAATGCCTTCTGTTTACTTTTTCTGTATTTATTATCTGTATATGTTATGTTATGTTATGTTATGTTATGTATATATGTATGTATATATGTATGTATGTATGTATGTATGTATGTATGTATGTATGTATGTGTATATATATAGTGTGTATGTACAGTGGGGAAAAAAAGTATTTAGTCAGCCACCAATTGTGCAAGTTCTCCCACTTAAAAAGATGAGAGAGGCCTGTAATTTTCATCATAGGTACACGTCAACTATGACAGACAAATTGAGGAAAAAAATTCTAGAAAATCACATTGTAGGATTTTTAATGAATTTCTTTGCAAATTATGGTGGAAAATAAGTATTTGGTCAATAACAAAAGTTTCTCAACACTTTGTTATATACCCTTTGTTGGCAATGACACAGGTCAAACGTTTTCTGTAAGTCTTCACAAGGTTTTCACACACTGTTGCTGGTATTTTGGCCCATTCCTCCATGCAGATCTCCTCTAGAGCAGTGATGTTTTGGGGCTGTTGCTGGGCAACACAGACTTTCAACTCCCTCCAAAGATTTTCTATGGGGTTGAGATCTGGAGACTGGCTAGGCCACTCCAGGACCTTGAAATGCTTCTTACGAAGCCACTCCTTCGTTGCCCGGGCGGTGTGTTTGGGATCATTGTCATGCTGAAAGACCCAGCCACGTTTCATCTTCAATGCCCTTGCTGATGGAAGGAGGTTTTCACTCAAAATCTCACGATACATGGCCCCATTCATTCTTTCCTTTACACGGATCAGTCGTCCTGGTCCCTTTGCAGAAAAACAGCCCCAGAGCATGATGTTTCCACCCCCATGCTTCACAGTAGGTATGGTGTTCTTTGGATGCAACTCAGCATTCTTTGTCCTCCAAACACGACGAGTTGAGTTTTTACCAAAAAGTTATATTTTGGTTTCATCTGACCATATGACATTCTCCCAATCCTCTTCTGGATCATCCAAATGCACTCTAGCAAACTTCAGACGGGCCTGGACATGTACTGGCTTAAGCAGGGGGACACGTCTGGCACTGCAGGATTTGAGTCCCTGGCGGCGTAGTGTGTTACTGATGGTAGGCTTTGTTACTTTGGTCCCAGCTCTCTGCAGGTCATTCACTAGGTCCCCCTGTGTGATTCTGGGATTTTTGCTCACCGTTCTTGTGATCATTTTGACCCCACGGGGTGAGATCTTGCGTGGAGCCCCAGATCGAGGGAGATTATCAGTGGTCTTGTATGTCTTCCATTTCCTAATAATTGCTCCCACAGTTGATTTCTTCAAACCAAGCTGCTTACCTATTGCAGATTCAGTCTTCCCAGCCTGGTGCAGGTCTACAATTTTGTTTCTGGTGTCCTTTGACAGCTCTTTGGTCTTGGCCATAGTGGAGTTTGGAGTGTGACTGTTTGAGGTTGTGGACAGGTGTCTTTTATACTGATAATAAGTTCAAACAGGTGCCATTAATACAGGTAACGAGTGGAGGACAGAGGAGCCTCTTAAGGAAGAAGTTACAGGTCTGTGAGAGCCAGAAATCTTGCTTGTTTGTAGGTGACCAAATACTTATTTTCCACCATAATTTGCAAATAAATTCATTAAAATCCTACAATGTGATTTTCTGGATTTTTTTCTCTCTCAATTTGTCTGTCATAGTTGACGTGTACCTATGATGAAAATTACAGGCCTCTCTCATCTTTTTAAGTTGGAGAACTTGCACAATTGGTGGCTGACTAAATACTTTTTTCCCCCACTGTATGTATGTGTGTGTATATGTATGTATATGTATATGTATGTATGTATGTTATTTAACTGCTCTAGGGATATAATTATTGTTTGGATAACCTTATTTACTATTATGTATTGATTGTTACCTTTAATTGTTTCACTCTTTATGCAATGCATACTGCAGAGAACACTGGAAGAAGAATTGTCACTGAATTACCACAGTGAATTATTGTAATGTTTGTGTCAATTAATCCCATAAGGGATGGGTTACCAATTGGCGATTTGACACGAAAATAAATATATCGCTCTTATTTTCTCTCTCTGCAGACCCGGGAAGCTCTTGATGACTCAGTGGGACTGCAGAACCCAGAGGGATTACAATTAGAGGCGGAGGAGGGGGATTTGGGACCCGGCGACCCCCAAGACTGGAGCCAGGACGGGGAGGAGGGGGATTTGGGACCCGGCGACCCCCAAGACTGGAGCCAGGACGGGGAGGAGGGGGATTTGGGACCCGGCGACCCCCAAGACTGGAGCCAGGACGGGGAGGAGGGGGATTTGGGACCCGGCGACCCCCAAGACTGGAGCCAGGACGGGGAGGAGGGGGATTTGGGACCCGGCGACCCCCAAGACTGGAGCCAGGACGGGGCGAGGAAGAGGATCGGTGGTGGGGGTGACATCACCTCGTTGTGTGACTCTCTGTCTTCCCTGCTGGGGGTGAAGGACCCACACACAGAATGGAAGAACAGCAGCTACCACACTGCTGGGGACTGTAGAGCCAGACACACAGCAGAGAGGAGCCAGAACCAACACAGCACAGAGAAACTCGCAGAGAAATACAGCGGAGAGATTCATAACCAACAACACAGCACAGAGAAACTCGCAGAGAAATACAGCGGAGAGATTCATAACCAACAACACAGCACAGAGAAACTCGCAGAGAAATACAGCGGAGAGATTCATAACCAACAACACAGCACAGAGAAACTCGCAGAGAAATACAGCGGAGAGATTCATAACCAACAATACAGCACAGAGAAACTCGCAGAGAAATACAGCGGAGAGATTCATAACCAACAACACAGCACAGAGAAACTCGCAGAGAAGTACAGCGGAGAGATTCATAACCAACAACACAGCACAGAGAAACTCGCAGAGAAATACAGCGGGGAGATTCATAACCAACAACACAGCACAGAGAAACTCGCAGAGAAATACAGCGGAGAGATTCATAACCAACAATACAGCACAGAGAAACTCGCAGAGAAATACAGCGGAGAGATTCATAACCAACAACACAGCACAGAGAAACTCGCAGAGAAGTACAGCGGAGAGATTCATAACCAACAACACAGCACAGAGAAACTCGCAGAGAAATACAGCGGAGAGATTCATAACCAACAACACAGCACAGAGAAACTCGCAGAGAAATACAGCGGAGAGATTCATAACCAACAACACAGCACAGAGAAACTCGCAGAGAAATACAGCGGGGAGATTCATAACCAACAACACAGCACAGAGAAACTCGCAGAGAAATACAGCGGAGAGATTCATAACCAACAACACAGCACAAAGAACACAGAGAAATACAGCGTGGAGATTCATAACCAACAACACAGCACAAAGAACACAGAGAAATACAGCGGAGAGATTCATAACCAACAACACAGCACAAAGAACACAGAGAAATACAGCGTGGAGATTCATAACCAACAACACAGCACAGAGAAACTCACAGAGAAGAAGCGACACAAGCACAGGACAGAGAAAGAAACCCAGCATGGCGCTGAGAAAGTCAGTAAAGAGGTTCATGTCACTCAAATCACAGGTAATCGGAAAACACTAATACACCACACAGAGTCCCACAAACAGAATAGCCCAGGCAGACACCAGATCGACATCGCACAAAGCACAGAAACGTTTACACGGAGAAACAGCACGGAGACACAAACGCAGAGCAGCACAGAGAAACGGTGCACAGGGTTAACCAACACAGGGATATGTAAACAACATAACATAGATATACAACGTGTAGATCTTCTGTCCACTCTGCACAGTGTAGAGAAACAGAGTTCACAAATACACAGCAGTCACCTGGAGCAGGTAAGCCTTGCTAGCCAGAATACAGACAGACAGGTGTCACACAACCAGCGCATTGCAGAGACACACTGCAGAGACACACACAACACTATAGAGGCACAGTGTTCGGACATATCTGACACACACGTGACACTATGCACAGATACACACAATATAGCCAACACACACAATATAGCCAACACACACAAACCAGACACACACTGCAGGCTCACACACAACCATCACAAACCAGACACACACTGCAGGCTCACACACAACAATCACAAACCAGACACACACTGCAGGCTCACACACAACAATCACAAACCAGACACACACTGCAGGCTCACACACAACAATCACAAACCAAACACACACTGTGAACTTATTGCAGAGCCCAGTACTGACACACAGTGTACAGAAACACACACCACAGACACAATCTGTATGGACACACAGCACACAGAGACAGAGGGGAGTAGTGAACCCACCACAGAGACAGAGGGGAGTAGTGAACCCACCACAGAGACAGAGGGGAGTAGTGAACCCACCACAGAGACAGAGGGGAGTAGTGAACCCACCACAGAGACAGAGGGGAGTAGTGAACCCACCACAGAGACAGAGACAGAGACAGAGACAGAGACAGAGACAAAGCCCCAGCCTCAGGCCTTCCTCAGTGCTACAAAGCCCCACGGTGAGGCATGCAGATCATGTGTCCACTGCCAGGAAGAGCACAAGGTGTGTGTCACCACCAGGAACTCAGCAGAGCCGACTGAACCATCAGGGACAGAGGAAACAGTGAATGGCATCTGTTCAATCATGTCGTCCGTGGAGGCTGGACTTCCTTTTGAGGTGGGACTTACTGTAGAGGTGCGACTTTCTCCCTCGCTAGACGCCCGTGGGCCCATACCTCTTTCCAACAACCTGTCACCTGATCTGTCTCTCTCACCATCGCAAGACAGGAAGGGGATCAACCAACTGGAATCCCAGTTAGCCTCACCTGTCCCACCTACTGGGCTAGACAGTGGAGGAATTACAGAGATACAACAACATCAACAACAACAAACACAGAGCGTTAGTTCACGACCCCTGAAGGAGGATGCCGTTCAGACCCAGGGCCTAATCCCTGAGCTCCAGGACCAGGGGGACTCTAGCACAGAGACACCCAGGGACAGTGAGCACTCGCCTGGGGAGAGTACGAGGGATGAGCTCCAGCTTGATTCTGCTCATCTCCAGTCTCACACTGAGGGGGGGGGTGAGGAACGCCTGCCCCCCCACCCCCACTCCCTCCCCCACATAGACAGGCCGCCTCCCTCTGACCTGTCAGGATCAGAAGACTCAGAACACTCACAGCTGTTATCAAAGACCTCGACCAGAGAGGACAGGACAGGACCACCCCATTCCCTGTCCGGGGTGAGAGAAGAGGAGGAGGAGGAGGAGGAGGAGGAGGAGGAGGAGGAGGAGGAGGAAGAAAATTGTCATGTTTACAGACAGCAGGAGCAGGCAGTAGAAAGCACATCCTGCCCTGAATCAGCACAGCCAAACACTGTTATAGCAGCAGAGTTCTCTGATCATACAGACACTGACTCTGACCATGTTGGGCTGTCAAGCACAGAGGAGACGGAGGACGCTATAGTCCCCTGCAGTCCTACAGGAGTCTTCATAGAGATCACTAGTGATCTGCATGTGGACCTCTGCACACAGGGTGGTTCTAGTGACATAGGCCAAGGGTTAACCCAGGGGTCAACCCAACCTACAGAGACTGAACATCTTCAGGGAGACAGCACAGAACCCCCTGCCTTAGATCAGGAGGCTATACAACTGAGGAGGATAGAGATTACCGTGGGAGCAGACTTTCCTGTTACCGTAGGAACAGACTCTCCCGTTACCATGGGAACAGACTCTCCTGTGTGTAAAGAACGAGTCCAGGGCCACAGGGATCAGCTAGAGATCCACCACAGGATCCCTGAGCGTGAGCCTCCCTCTCCCTGCACTGTGCCACCCTCCATCCCGTCTCTGTCCTCCCGCTCCCTCTCTGACTCCAACAACCACACCAAGGCCAGTGAAGGGTTGTGGTTGGGATCTCTCTGTACGAGGGGCCAGGGACCAGAGCGGTGGTCCTCTGAGGTAGCCCACCAGAGCGGATCAAAGGAGTGTGGGGATAAAACTGATGGTGAGTCCCCTTCCCTGACCGAGCCCGCAACGTTTACCTCGGACATCCTGGGGGAGACCAATGAGACCCTGGACAGCCCCCTTGAAGAACCCCCTGAGGACTCTGAGGAGTTCCTGTCCCCCCTGGACTACGACCCCTACTGGAGCCGTGAGGACTCAGCCGTGTCCGGGCTGGGGGACGAGTGGCACTTCAGCCTGGCTGAGGTGGAAGAGCTGGGGAGGCTCCAGGGAGAGGGTTACAGAGACATCCCTATTCAGAACCATACAGGCACGACAGACTGGAGAGGAGACATCTCTAACCATACAGACTGGACAGGAGACATCTCTAACCATACAGACTGGAGAGGAGACATCTCTAACCATACAGACTGGAGAGGAGACATCTCTAACCATACAGACTGGAGAGGAGACATCTCTAACCATACAGACTGGAGAGGAGACATCTCTAACCATACAGACTGGAGAGGAGACATCTCTAACCATACAGACTGGAGAGGAGACATCTCTAACCATACAGACTGGAGAGGAGACATCTCTAACCATACAGACTGGAGAGGAGACATCTCTAACCATACAGACTGGACAGGAGACATCTCTAACCATATAGACTGGAGAGGAGACATCTCTAGCCATACAGACTGGAGAGGAGACATCTCTAACCATACAGACTGGAGAGGAGACATCTCTAACCATACAGACTGGAGAGGAGACATCTCTAACCATACAGACTGTAGGGAAGATAATTGTGCTGCTAACTGTCACACAGGCCTTTCCGAACCCTTAGCTTCCTACCTGGAGACCAGAGGCCTGCTATTGGACAGTGCAGAGAAAGAGAAGGGGCAGCAGCCCATTCCCCACCAATCCCCCAAGCCTCCTTCGGACAGAGACAGACAGGAGTGTAGCAACTCACCTGAGGCTCTAGGATTAAAGGACTGTTTGTTTGCTGAGAAGGACAGCTCCTACAGCTCCTACCTCCAGACCAGCTCTCACCCCGCCCTACTGCAGCAGGATCGTGGGGTGAGGATCGTGAGGTACCCCTATCCCGACGTCAGTCTCAACCTGCTCTCCTTTAGTAGCCTGGAACCCATCCTAGAGGCCGATCCCGACCACTCCCTGGACAACTCTGGGACAGTGGAAGATGAGGAGCGGAGAAAGATTGTTAGGATAAGGCCCACTGAGGAGGACAGGAACACTGTTCTTCTGTCTGGTGACATCATCATGTCCTATATGCCCACTTTCAGCCCGTCGTCGTGTCACTCTGAGGACTTGTCCAGTATTGAGTCATCAGAGCACCAGCTGGTCTCGTTGACCTTTGACTCCGATGACCCCAGGGTCATGACCTTACCACACAACAGGGACTCGGCGGGCAGCGAGAGATGCTCCAGTCCCACCCCCACCTCTGTGTCCTACGATTTTGACACCACCAGCACTAACAGTGAGGAGATGGAAGAATCCATCCTGCCTGTCTCAGCGGGGAATGCCAACCTCCACAAACCCATGAAGAGCAAGTCTAAAGGCGACTGGGCGGGGAGCTCCAAGAGCTCCAAGTTCTCTGTCTTCGCCAAGATGCCTTCTTTCAGGAAGAGGAAGAGTCTGAAGAACACCAAGATGGACAGCTCGCCCCGGGAGTCACCCGCCCTGGGCCTGAGAAGGGAGCTGGGGGGAGGACATGGAGGACAGGGGGGAGACACCTCAGATGATGACAGTGTCGTCTTGATGGTCCAGCAGGCCTTCTCCTCCGGTCCGGGGGGTCGCTACGAGACAGAGGAGGAGGAGGACTACGGCTTCTTCCCCTCCACGCCTCGCACCCGCCACGTCCGCCTGCTTTTCAGGGAGGGACCTGGGGACAACCCCCGAAGGGCCCAGCAGCCCAGACAGTCCCCTGACCTCCCAGCCCGGAGGTCTCAGACATGACCAGACCGAGGCCCTCGAGGGCCTGCACGGCTACAAGAGGAGCAAGAGCTCCGACAGCCTCAACCTCCGCATGCGCTTCGCCCAGGCCCACAAGTCCCTGTCCAGCCTGTTTGAGTCTCGCTCCATGGACAAGGAGAACGAAGAGGAGACGGGGAGCGTTGAGACGGGGAGCGTTGAGACGGGGAGCGAAGGGGAGGTGGGGCGAGCCAAACAGTCCTGGAGGAGGCTGAAGAGAGAGAGGGCCAGGGAGGCTGAGCTGCTGAGGAGGACCCTGTCTGTCCCGGTCGGAGATGGGGTCGAGGGAGGGGACGGTGGGGGTGTGAGGACGTCCAGACAGATCCACAGTGACTACGTGTCCCGCTCTGCCTCGGGCTCAGTGCTCAGTGTCCCTGGGTCCCCCTCCTCTCTCAGGGCTCTGAGTCTCACCGACCCCCTCACTAAGAGGGGCCTGCAGGACAGTCAAAGCGGGGACCGGGGACGACATGTCAGATGGCCAGAAGAGGAAAGGGAAAGTCCCGCCCAACAGCCTGTCAATCAACTTCTCAGACTCCAGACCGCCATCCTCGCACGACTCTGAGGCCCCGCCCACAAACGATCCCAGCCCCCTGTCGCCCATGAGCCCCGCCTCCCTGGCTGCCTTAGCCAATCAGCTGTCCTGGTCCCCAGGGGGAGCCTATGAGAGCACAGCGTCTAGCATGGCAGCTACACCAGACACCCCAGTGAGACCCATGAGCCCCAAGCCCCACAGCCCCAGACCTGCTGCCCAGCACAGGGCCTTCTGCTACCCCCCCACTGCCTCTGCCCGGGCCTCAGTCCTGTCCCTGCTCCTCATGGGCCAGTCAGCCAGTGTAGAGGGCCTGTCTGACCCGCCAGAGAAGCCCAAGACCCTGAAGCCCCGAACGGGACAGTTAGGCTCCTCCTCCCTCAGCCCATTGGAGGACAGCGGAGTGGACAGTCTGCTTACACCTATGTCCTTCAAACAGTTTGAGGTAAGGCACAGCTATATGATAACACAGCTATATAATGCCTCATTGTTATCATTTGTTTGACTGCATGTGTGTTGTTAAGCAGATTCTCCATGGCAGGCAGGTGTAGCCTTGTGTGTAACTGATAATAACTGATAAAACCGATAAAAACTGATATAACTGATAATAACTGATATAACTTATAATAACTGATATAATAATGAAGAATACAGAAATTATATACTAGTTAAACAGCCCAAAACATGTAAGCTATTAAAGAACAATACATGATTTATTCCCTTTACAAGTGAATTCTCAGCTAGACATCCCCACTGTACTATCTCACTTCCTCAGGGCACATCTTTGATTGACAGGAGTAGGTTGTTTAAAAGAAAAGTCTCCTCTGGCATCTGCTGTTTCATCGTTTTGTCCCCATTATGATAGAATGACCTGACTGTCTGTCAGTTTAACATCATGACAGAATGACCTGACTGTCTGTCAGTTTAACATCATGATAAAGCAGCCATGTTAACCCCTCCTCCATCAAGACGACGAGGGAAGGCCAGGCAGGGTGCACTATGGGATAAAGTGTTGACTGTCTTTCACTGGCCCTGTTCTGCCTCAGTGTAACCGGTGTGAAATGGCTAGCTAGTTAGCGGTGCGTGCTAGTGGCATTTCAATAGGTGACGTCACTCGCTCTGAGACCTTGAACTAGCCGTTTCCCTTGGGCTTCGGCTTTTGTGGAGCGATATGTAACGATGCTTCGCGGGAGGCAATTGTCGATGTGTTCAGAGGGTCTCTGGTTCAAGCCCAGTTTGGGGCGATGAGAAGAACGGAGGCAACACTGTTACATCAGCCTTAGGCTGAATTTAAATAACATCTTTGGGCACTTCATCTCTCTCTACAGTCATGCGTGTGTGTTTGTGCGTGCGCGTGTGTATTCGATGAAATGCAGAATAAGCCCTTCTTTATCTCCCTCCTCCCTCTGTTCTCTCCTCTCCTGAAAGAGAGATGAGGAGGAAGAGTGAAACGATAGAGTCAGCTCTTTCTTTCCTCCGCTGTGCTCTGCTGTCACTGGCGTGGCACATTTCCATTCTGCTCCCGTCCCGTCCCGCCTGGCAGTTCTGAAATGGCCCAGGCAGGCAGCTGGGAGGGGGACTGTGTGTTCTAGCCCCCCCCCCCCCCCCCCCCCCCCCCCCCCCGGTGGAGCCTGCAGGAAGCACCCAGCAGGGAGCCAGGCAGGCAAGCAGGCAGGTTTTGACTAGATGGGATGCAGCCAGGGCCGGACTACTGCATTTGGGGCCACCGGGCCAGCTACCTCCAGGGGGCTCCCCAAACAGATAACTTCCTGTATTTCAACATGGGGCAGAGAGAAAATATTCATGTTTTAAAGTTAGTTTCCTGCAATTCTACACATTTTGCCATGGGGCAGAGAGAAAAATGGAATGTTTCATCTCATGCAAGTCTAAGGGCGGCAGGAAGCCTTGAGGTCAGGGTGGTAGGCCAGGAACCGAAAGGTTGCTGGTTCGAATACCGTAGCCGACAAGGTGAGAAAAAAAACAAATCTGTCGCTATGTGTTTGAGCTAGGCACTTAACCCTAATTGCTTCAGGGGTGCTGTACAATGGTGACCCACTCCAATGGTGACCCACTCCAATGGTGACCCACTCCAATGGTGACCCACTCCCTGCGGGTGTGTGTAGCAGGACAAATATAAACACTCCCCAAATTATTATAATTAAAACTGCAAAATGTTCTGTTCATCCTCACGTCAGAATATGAAGAATAGCGTGAGGTTAGGAGAATTAGGTTAAGGTTAGGAAAAGGGTTAGGGTTAGCAAAAAGGCAAACACTATTCAAATGTGCAACTTTTGACTTCACTTTGATATTAGCTGCATTACCTTCTAACCATGACCAATCAGGCAGGGGGACACACAGGCTAAACTAAATCATGATTAAGTCATGCGAGATAGCTCAGTACTGATGCGCACAGGAAATAGTCAGTGGGAACTACCTTACCTGTCAAGTGCATCAGTTACACCAATCAAGACAATTGAATTCACCTGTCCCATCATAGTCATCAACACTCCATAACAACTGTTTAAGATCATGTACCAGTAAGAATAATACAATGTAATGTACACAGATAGACGCCATATGGAGGTCATAGAGGACCACCAGGCACTATAGTTTGAAGTGAAAGTGACATTGACAGTCCCATTAACCAGTTGACTATGCACCCAAAGACCAGTCAGGATGGATGTAGACCCAGTAGCCAAGCAGGGGGAGAAGGGAAGAGGCTAGCAGAACTGAAGAGTCCTGGATCTGGACCGGACACTACTGCCTCAGCCCTCAGACCACCACTAGGCCACAGGCGGGACAGGGGTCTGAGACGCCAACGCTGCTGCTCAGACGACCTGTGGATCGAAGAGCAGAAGAGATGGAAGCGGAAGCTGGCCCGAGTGATGAGGGGCAGCCTGGGACAACTCAACACACACTGTCCTGAAGAGCTCGAGAAAGTAAGACTCCACCATGCTTACCCGTGCAAAACAACTTACAGCCTAGGGGGAGGGATTTTCTCTCTCCTCCTCCTCCTCCTCCTCTTCATCTACGTACTGTCTCGAGGATGGTTCTCTCCTCCTCCTCCTCCTCCTCTTCTTCTTCATCTACGTACTGTCTCGAGGATGGTTCTCTCCTCCTCCTCCTCTTCCTCCTCTTCATCTACGTACTGTCTCGAGGATGGTTCTCTCCTCCTCCTCCTCCTCCTCCTCTTCCACTTCATCTATGTACTGTCTCGAGGATGGTTCTCTCCTCCTCCTCCTCCACCTCCTCCTCTTCCTCTTCATCTATGTACTGTCTCGAGGATGGTTCTCTCCTCCATCTCTTCTATCCTTCGCCAGCTGTCTTCGCCGAGTCTTGACATCTTTCCTTTGTTACATGTTTTTCCCCTTCCGTTTCCATGTCATCTTTTTTGGGATGTCTTTCCTGTTTCTGTGCCAGTCTCTCTCAGCTCCTACTGTTAGCCTAAACCTGCATGCACCTTCAGCTAAATCTGTTCAGGTAAAACACATTATTACTGTTGCTCTGTCACATTATATAGTACACGTATATTCATGATTTAAACTAAGAAAAGGCAGGGTCTTAACATTTAAAGTGAGCATAATACTAACTATAGACTTCTAGGTATGTAGGCCTAGGCATTGTTGGATCCCCAGCTTTACTTTTGCCTCCTCCACACAGTGGAATACACCAGTGTCCCTGTCGACCATGGAGGCATTCTCTGGGATGGGCCTGAAGACCCACTGCTTCTCCCAGAGCACCCCCATCGGACTGGACTGTCTGGGCTGGAGACGACGCATCTCCTACCCCTGTGAGTAGTTCCTACCTCCTCCTCATCAACCCTGAGAGTAGCTCCTCCCTCCTCCTCCTCATCCTAACCCTGAGAGTAGCTCCTCCCTCCTCCTCCTCCTCTTAACCCTGAGAGTAGCTCCTCCCTCCTCCTCCTCCTCCTAACCCTGAGAGTAGCTCCTCCTCCTCATCTTAACCCTGAGAGTAGCACCTCCCTCCTCCTCCTCATCCTAACCCTGAGAGTAGCTCCTCCCTCCTCCTCCTCATCCTAACCCTGAGAGTAGCTCCTCCCTCCTCCTCCTCCTCCTAACCCTGAGAGTAGCTCCTCCCTCCTCCTCTCCCTCCTAACCCTGAGAGTAGCTCCTCCCTCCTCCTCATCCTAACCCTGAGAGTAGCTCCTCCCTCCTCCTCCTCCTCATCCTAACCCTGAGAGTAGCTCCTCCCTCCTCCTCCTCCTCCTTACCCTGAGAGTAGGTCCTCCCTCCTCCCCCTCCTAACCCTGAGAGTAGCTCCTCCCTCCGCCTCCTCCTCCTAACCCTGAGAGTAGCTCCTCCCTCCTCCTCCTCCTAACCCTGAGAGTAGCTCCTCCCTCCTCCTCCTCCTCCTTGCCCTGAGAGTAGCTCCTCCCTCCTCCTCCTCCTAACCCTGAGAGTAGCTCCTCCCTCCTCCTCCTCCTAACCCTGAGAGTAGCTCCTCCCTCCTCCTCCTCCTAACCCTGAGAGTAGCTCCTCCCTCCTCCTCCTCCTTACCCTGAGAGTAGCTCCTCCCTCCTCCTCCTCCTCCTAACCCTGAGAGTAGCTCCTCCCTCCTCCTCCTCCTAACCCTGAGAGTAGCTCCTCCCTCCTCCTCCTCCTTACCCTGAGAGTAGCTCCTCCCTCCTCCTCCTCATCCTAACCCTGAGAGTAGCTCCTCCCTCCTCCTCCTCCTCCTAACCCTGAGAGTAGCTCCTCCCTCCTCCTCCTCCTCCTAACCCTGAGAGTAGCTCCTCCCTCCTCCTCCTCCTCATCCTAACCCTGAGAGTAGCTCCTCCCTCCTCCTCCTCATCCTAACCCTGAGAGTAGCTCCTCCCTCCTCCTCCTCCTTACCCTGAGAGTAGCTCCTCCCTCCTCCTCCTCATCCTAACCCTGAGAGTAGCTCCTCCCTCCTCCTCCCCCTCCTAACCCTGAGAGTAGCTCCTCCCTCCTCCTCCCCCTCCTAACCCTGAGAGTAGCTCCTCCCTCCTCCTCCTCCTCCTTGCCCTGAGAGTAGCTCCTTCCTCCTCCTCCTCCTCCTAACCCTGAGAGTAGCTCCTCCCTCCTCCTCCTCCTCCTAACCCTGAGAGTAGCTCCTCCCTCCTCCTCCCCCTCCTATCCCTGAGAGTAGCTCTTCCCTCCTCCTCCTCTTAACCCTGAGAGTAGCTCCTCCCTCCTCCTCCTCCTCCTAACCCTGAGAGTAGCTCCTCCCTCCTCCTCCTCCTCCTCCTAATCCTGAGAGTAGCTCCTCCTTCCTCCTCCTCCTTGCCCTGAGAGTAGCTCCTCCCTCCTCCTCCTCCTAACCCTGAGAGTAGCTCCTCCCTCCTCCTCCTCCTCCTAATACTGAGAATAGCTCCTCCTTCCTCCTAACCCTGAGTACTGCAAACTGCTGGCTCTCGCTCACTCTCTATGCCTAGGTTGGTTCCAATACTCTACAATGGCTTTCTTCCTTTCCTCATGATGACCACCTATTAACTAGATTATAGGTCCCCTGTCCCCCACCCCTGGCCCCCACCCCTGTCTCAGACTCCAACTCCATTCCCCGGATGTAATTCTGTTTGAGAGACTTCATGTATTTATCGTTTAGTTCCGTGTTTAAAATCATGTCCTCACAAAATCCTGGATTAGCCTGCGGACATCATGCCACGCACTGCAGCAACATCTGTTGTGAAACAACTACTTTATTTTGGAGCTAACACTACTCTGAGCCAATTACAATGATTACTGCTTTGGCATGAGCAGAGTATTGTTGTAGTTCTGCATACCACCAGCAGGGGGATCCACATCCTCTGCACATCAGTGGTCCCAGAGTTTGTTGGAGCTTGGAAAGGCATTGTACTATTCACATTGACAGACAGTCCCACTGGATGAGAGCCAGTGGCATCATCAGTTTTAAATCCAGGTCAATGAGCTTTGAGAATATGTAAACACAGTGTTTCTATGGTGATTACTCTCTGGAAGATATGCTTGGCCAGGACCCGGTGTCTCCAGATGGATCGTCTTTTGCATTAGTGGAGATTTTTTTACAGATCTTTATTACTCCTGTTCAAAATCCAGCCGTCACTTAGTGGGAGAACACAGAGTGCTTCTGGAGGGTGTTTGTGTGTGTTTGTGTGTGTGTGTGTGTGTGTGTGTGTGTATGTGTGTGTCAGATTGTCTGTCTGGCTCTGCTCTTTGTCTGAGAGGCCTGTAGGAGATGCAATATGGTGGGAGAGAATGGTTTAGGCAAATATAATTGATTCATTATCTACAACGTTTTAGCCCTTTTTTCAGGACAATTTGATAAAAGAGAGTGCTAGGTGCTAGACTGGTGATGGGTGGACATAAGGTTAGTGCTGAAATGATATGACCCTGTTCATTCTGATGTCATTGGGTGGTCACACACGCACAGAGGCAGCAGATTGCGTGCCACTCAAAGTGAGGTCAGTGCTCTTGCACCAGATGCCTTCTGTGTAATTGGATTAATTGATTTTTTAAATATATTTTTTTGTCATTTAGCAGACGCTCTTATCCAGAGCGACTTACAGTTAGTGAGTGCATACACATTATTTTTTTTTCATACTGGCCCCCCGTGGGAATCGAACCCACAACCCTGGCGTTGCAAACGCCATGCTCTACCAACTGAGCTACATCCCTGCCGGCCATTCCCTCCCCTACCCTGGACGACGCTGGGCCAATTGTGCGCCGCCCCATGGGTCTCCCAGTCTGGATTCGAACCAGGATCTCTAGCGGCACAGCTAGCACTGCGATGCAGTGCCTTAGACCACTGTGAACCACCATGTCTATCTGTGTCCTATGAGACAGAGACAGCAGAACCACCATGTATCTCTGTGTCCTATGAGACAGAGACAGCAGAACCACCATGTCTCTCTGTGACCTATGAGACAGAGACAGCAGAACCACCATGTCTCTCTGTGTCCTATGAGACAGAGACAGCAGAACCACCATGTCTCTCTGTGTCCTATGAGACAGAGACAGCAGAACCACCATGTCTCTCTGTGACCTATGAGACAGAGACAGCAGAACCACCATGTCTCTCTGTGTCCTATGAGACAGAGACAACAGAACCACCATGTCTCTCTGTGTCCTATGAGACAGAGACAGCAGAACCACCATGTCTCTCTGTGTCCTATGAGACAGAGACAGCAGAACCACCATGTCTCTCTGTGTCCTATGAGACAGAGACAGCAGAACCACCATGTCTCTCTGTGTCCTATGAGACAGAGACAGCAGAACCACCATGTCTCTCTGTGACCTATGAGACAGAGACAGCAGAACCTATATGTACTAAACATGTATTCTATTAGATCATGTTGTGGATGTGGTGAGTGGTGAGTGGTGCATCAATATTATGTGGTTCTCAGTCCAGTCAGTCTGTTCATCTTATTAAACTCTGATAGATATAGGAAATAGAGTATGTACTGTAATGGCTGACTGGGTGGTGTTGAATAGCCTGCTATCAATTCAATTCAATTCAATGTAATGGTTTTATTGACATGGGAAACGTATGTTAACATTGCCAAAGCAAGTGAAGTAGATAGTAAACAAAAGTGAAATAAACAATAAATATTAACAGTAAACATTACACTCAGAAGTTCCAAAAGAATAAAGACATTTCAAATGTCATATTATGTATATATACAGTGTTGTAACAATGTGCAAATAGGAAACAAGTACAAATGGGAAATTAAATAAACATAAATATGGGTTGTATTTACAATGGTTGCCCTTTTCTTGTGGCAACAGGTCACAAATCTTGCAGCTGTGATGGCACACTGTGGCTTTTCACCCAGTAGATAAGGGAGTTTATCAAAATTGGGTTTGTTTTCTAATTCTTTGTGGATCGCTGTAATCTGAGGGAAATATGTGTCTCTAATATGGTCATACATTTGGCAGGAGGTTAGGAAGTGCAGCTCAGTTTCCACCTCATTTTGTGGGCAGTGTGCACATAGCCTGTCTTCTCTTGAGAGCCAGGTCTGCCTACGGCGGCCTTTCTCAATAGCAAGGCTATGCTCACTGAGTCTGTACATAGTCAAAGCTTTCCTTAAGTTTGGGTCAGTCACAGTGGTCAGGTATTCTGCGTTCTTTCCAATGTGTCAAGTAATTCTCTTTTTGTTTTCTCATGATTTGGTTGGGTCTAATTGTGTTGTTGTTGTTGTTGTCCTGGGGCTCTGTGGGGGCCAGCTTACTTAGGGGACTCTTCTCCAAGTTCATCTCTCTGTAGGTGATGGCTTTGTTATGGAAGGTTTGGGAATCGCTTCCTTTTAAGTGGTTATAGAATTTAACGGCTCTTTTCTGGATTTTGATAATTAGCGGGTATTGGCCTAATTCTGCTCTGCATGCATTATTTTGTGTTTTACGTTGTACACTGAGGATGTTTTTGCAGAATTCTGCATGCAGAGTCTCAATTTGGTGTTTGTCCCATTTTGTGAATTCTGGTTGGTGAGCGGACCCCAGACCTCACAACCATAAAGGGCAATGGGTTCTATAACTGATTCAAGTATTTTTAGCCAGATCCTAATTGGTATGTCAAATTTTATGTTCCTTTTGATGGCATAGAAGGCCCTTCTTGCCTTGTCTCTCAGATCGTTCACAGCTTTGTGGAAGTTACCTGTGGCGCTGATGTTTAGGCCGAGGTATGTATAGTTTTTTGTGTGCTCTAGGGCAACAGTGTTTAGATGGAATTTGTATTTGTGGTCCTGGCAACTGGACCTTTTTTGGAACACCATTATTTTTGTCTTACTGAGATTTACTGTCAGGGCCCAGGTCTGACAGAATCTGTGCAGAAGA